TGGCCTGAGGCTCCAGCTGCCAGAAAGGGCTTTCTAGACATGAGGACAGCTCACTCTGATACAGCCCCATCCTGGCTATGCCCCCCATGTGTCCCAGCATGAGGGTCCCTGGGCGCCCTGGGCTGCTGAGGCAGGGACAGGCCTGCCAGGGTAACAAGGCCCAGTGCCTATCAGAGTGCCATTCCAGAGAGTCATTAAACAATACACATCCCAGTGCAGCCACACGTGCCAGGCACAGGACAGGGAGAAGGAGTGCAGGATGAGGGGGCCAGTGCTGGCTTGTGCAAAGAGGGGACCTGGTAGCCAAAGGGCCCTCATTCCTCAGAGCCCTAGGAGCATTCCCCCTGCACCCTGCTGTGGGCATTCCTGCCCTGGGCTACCCAGGGTCCTTCAAGGTGGGTGAGGCTCAGAGGAGAGCATCTGGCCCCCCAAGACAGGAGGACAAGGGGCTCTCTCCCCATAGCAAGAGTCATGCCCGAGCTTCCACCAAGCGAGCTCTGACAGGCTCCTGACAAAGTTTGGGGTTTCATCTCTTTTTGGGTAAATAAATCCACTTTTAATAAAGCCCTGAGCTTTTAATACAAGTGCAGCCAGGAAGACTGGAAATGTTATGAGAAGGAATTAACAGGGAGGAATGGGGGCTCTTCGGAACTCACGGCTCTTGTTGCAGAGTTTCAGTGATTATCTTTTCAATATGCTGAAACTTATTTCAAAGACGAGGGTATGGGGTAGTGCCGCCTGACCTGGCCCAGAGCCGGGCCCGCCAGTGAGGGCACTCTGCCTGCGGTGGTTCTCCAGGGGGCGACCCCCGCCGGCTGGGCTATGTGCCAGGGCGCAGCCAGGAGAGCAGGTGGGCAGGCCCAGGTCCGGCTGGAGGGCTGGAGACAGGGCCCAGCCTGCCTCGGGCTTCTTCCCTTCATGGGAACCTACATCATGGGGAGTAGGAGGCCTTCTTGGAAATGAGGCTCTCCCTAGAGAGGCTAACGGTGCACAGGCCCGCAGGGTCCCTACTCCTTGTGATAGGAAAAGGAGTACAGCAAGGTGGTTAAGGGTTGCCCGACTGCCTGCATTTGATCCTTTTAACCTCTCGCTGCCTTGCTTTCCCCACCTATAAAATGGGCATAATAACAGTGCCCACTCCCCAGCAGTTGATATATGTAAAGCACTCAGAAGAGCACTTGGCACAGAGCAAATGCTGTAAAAGTGACTGCCTCTTCCCAGACAGTGCACATACATGTGATGTTTCCAAACAATTTCAGCCAACTCAGACCCCCCAACACCCCAGATCATAATCTCCAGATTTGTAATCTCCACCCTAGAGGTAAGGAGCTTTCTGTGCATTACAAGAACCTCTAACAGCCTACTGGGAAGAGCTAGCATTAGTTGAGCACCTGCTATGTGCCAAGAACTGTGCTGGGCACCCAACACAGGTTCTCTCTCTCCCTTTTTCCTACAGTAGGGCTATATATACGCCCTCCCACAACCCCTCAGTAGAGGTAAATATGAGGAAACTGCGGCTCAGAGGGTCAAGGGATTTGCATAAGGTCAGTGAGTGGGTGGGGTAGGGATGGTTGGGGAGTGAAGGGCTTTGTTGGGGGTGGCCTGGGTGGGCCCCATTGCCCTCTGTGCCCAGCGCATGTGCCAAGGCAGCCCCAGCCCATGAGGCCTGGGTACCGGTAGAGAAGTGGGAGCATAGTCCAGAGAGGCTGGGACTTCTCTAGAAGGGACCATGTCTCTCCCCTTTGCGGCGTGTCCCCTTCCAAAGTAACCCTCACTGGGAGAGCAGCTGGAGTGGGGGCCTGACTGGGCTGTACCTGGCCTCAGGGGTCCATGGTCCACCTCCTTCCCCACCAGCTCGGCTGGGACCCCCTCCTCCACTTCATGATGGGATTAAGGACTTTGAAGGTGGACATGCCTTTTGCTTCGGGAGTGGGAGGCACGCCTGTGCGGGGAGGAGGCTGGTGGGGGGTGAAGGGGACTTCCGACGAGAGCTGCCACAGCAGATTCTGAGGCAGAAAATCCTATTTCTCAGTCCTTAATTCCAGTCAATTCCAGTCAAAGGGCTGATAGGCATCGGCTGGCAGTAATTTGTGCAGTTTATCCGCTCTTTTCACCTTCTATCAGTCCTTCACTGACGGGCAGGCCGACATGCTACTGCTCGAGTGAGGAAATTAAAATCTGATGCAATAATCCCAAATAAGAAGGATTTTATTAGGTAATATATACACTTTAGATGAGGCATGCTAGCATGATACACTGATAGAGGGAGGCAACATGCTGGGAGCTGCAGATAAAGAGGGGGACTGGGTGAGAGTGGGGAAGGGTCTCAATGGGGGCCCTGGGGCAGCGAAGGCAAGGCCAGGAATAGGGGACACCTGGGTTCTCTGGCTTGGGAGGCTGCACAGGCCACAGTGCATCTTAGCCCTGGCCTGGCCTGGGCATTAGTGCATTAAATCCGGATTCCACACTGTAAAGGGACATGGAGGGCCCAGATCAGGGCATGGAAACTGATTCGAAGCCTGGAAAAATCAGGCTTGGAATGTATGGGAATCAGTGTGTAGGAGAAAAGCTGGCAAGAGTCAGGGGAACTGGAGAACTCCTTTCAAGCATGGAAATGGGAGGAAGGGCAGAGGTATGAGGACACGGAGGATGATTCTGTAGGTGCTGGGTAGGGGAGCCAGGCCAGCAGCTGGGAGAGGCTGAAACCCCCACTCACTGCCTGGCCTGGCTTCCCCAGCCCGGTCATGACCCAAGCGGTGGGGCTCAGACCTGCCCCTCCCAGATTGGGGGCCAGCAGTCTCCAGGGACTGGCCTTAGTGCCCTCACAGGGGCAGAGGGACAATGCAGGCAAGGCAAAGAGACGTCAAGATCCCTGCACCCGAGAGAGAGAATCAGATGCCATGAAACTGAGCATAAGGAAGGAGAGCAGGAGCAAAGGCAGGTGAGAATCCAGCTTGCTCAAGTGCAGGAGCCGCTCTAACAGGAGTCCAAGGAACCATCTGGAGAGGGGAGGGTGTGGCTTAGCACAGGGCCCTGCATGCAGTAGGGGCCTAATAAGTGACTGATGGATGAGTAAAAGGATGAAGTGTAGAATGAATGAATGGACAGACTCAGAAATCTGCAGATGTGACACAAAACATGTAATAGTTTAATTTAGTGCTGCTCTGCTAGATACAGGGATGCTAGAGAATGTCTTGTCAGCTGGAGGGTCTCAGAGGACACTCATGTGGAGAACACCCCTCTTGCCAACTATTGCCACTCTGAGATGAAGCTGAAGCCAGGAGCCCCAACCCAATCGGACCGCTCTGACTGACTGACCAAGCCACTGACCACTGGTTTAATGTCTGCTAATTGCCAGCACTTGCTGGGTGCTTTATACGCATTACATCCAATCCTCAAAGCCCTGAAGTAGGGAGGCACTGCAGTGGACACTATCAGCCCCACTTTCCCAGTCAGGAAGTGGTCAGGAGGTTGTGTAATCTGGCCAGGGCAAGTGAATGGTGGTGCAAGGACTTCTCTGAGATCCTCTGCTCTGAGGCCACCATATCCCGCATGTCAATCAAGTTGGCTTTGGGCATCTCTGCACTCAGCCTGGGGTACAATGCCCCAAGACCCAAAGGAAGCCTTAGTTGAGCACCCCAAAGGAAGCCTGGCAGGAGGTCCCAGAGACTCAGGTATCTTGATTGCCAGGGGCTCAAAAGTGACATACACAGGTGAACATTACAGGTGAAACTACACATAACTAAGTGGTAAATTATGCAGCATACCGGCAGTCAATTCTACCAGGGTTGTAGGAGAGGGGCTGTCATCTCTGGAACTGGTGGGGAAGAAGCCAGGAGAAAAATCCTAAGGTGGGGAGGGAGCTGGGAACTAATGTGTGGATGGACTTTGGGTTGGCACGGGGGGTGAAGAGGATGGCAGGATGGTGAGAGTGCTGGTCTGCCCAGGGCATTTGTTCGCTTATTCATTCATCCATTCCACAAACTCTTCCCGAGCACCTGTATGTGCTGTGCCCACAGCAGTCCCTGCTGAGCTAGGCTTCCAGTGCAGCAGGGAAGCTGGGCTTGAGCAACTTGTTCGAGAGCTGAGCATCCAGGAGGCGTCTGGGCTGGGGGGAAGATTGTGGGCCCTGCCTCGCCTGGAAATAGCACACCAGTCTGACCTGATGCTGAGAACATGCTGGCTTGGCAAAGGAGGAGTGGGGGCAGAGACAAGAGGGTCTGGGAAGTCATGGGAGATGAAGTGAGCTGGGCTGAGCAAGGATAGTCTTCAGTCTCAAAAGCTGGGGCTCCTGCTGTCCACAGAATGCCAAGAAAGAGGAAGCTGGGGTGGGGGCACTGAGGTGTCCCTCTGCTCCCAAAGAAGCTTCAAACACCCGCAGTAGCATGCTGAAAAACACCATGCTTGTTAGATCCCCCGGTCCACAGCTGGTCCCAAGAAGGAAGTGGCCAGTGCTAGCCCCACATATCTGGAGACAGGAGCTTAGTACTTTGGCTAAGTGGCCAAATCAAGATGCCAATGGTCAGGACGGCCATCGTCTCCAAACTGTGGGTCAGGCCTCTCTGGCCTGTGGTGGCCTAGGAGCATGGTCTGCATCCCAGCTAAGGGAAGGCTGCCTGTCACTCATGCTGGATTCTGTGAGCCTGTGCAGATGTGCAGTGGGGCCCTGAATGCCCAGCAGCCTCAGGTGGCTGCCCCACTTTGCCTTCATAGCTGTGTGTCCTTCCTCTAAGCACACTAAGTTCCCTCAAAGAAAGGGCACATTTTTCTTTCCACAAACGCTGTTGCCTAAACTGCATGTTTGGGGGTTGTGTTTGCCCAGAGGAGCACCTTTTTCTAATTTATTAGCCCAGAGGGAGTGTTTCATGCTAGTTTGCCCCAAAGCACAGATGGTCGCCAGACAAGGATGCCCATCATTGCCTGCCTGGCCCACGGCTAAGCAAAGCTGCCCCACCACAGCCCCTGCGGAGTGGGCAGTGGCATGTTTTGTTGTCTAAGATGCCCAATCATAGCTGATTGGCCAGGGGTGGACACATGGCCCAAGGGCAGGCAGCAGGCTGGCTGCAACCTACTACCTTGTGTCATGGCACAAAATCAGGAGCCTATCTTGAAAACCTGAACTTGAGAAACCCAAAGGCTGAGCAGTTGGTGGGGGCAGCTGGAGCTGTGACTCTCAGGGAATAGCCAGGGCCTAAGAGGGCCCTTGGAGTGGAGGGCAAGCTGCTGGCACCTTGGGCAGTGTTGGGTGGTTGACAGAGGCAGATTGACCAGTGGGACACATGGCTGAACCACACTGAGGTTTTTTTGAGCCTGTCTGAGTCCAAACCCACTCTCCAGCCCAGGCTAGATTTTCCATGGGCATCCCCGTCACTCCACGCCAATCTTTCTGAACTGCTCCCCTTTATTTACCCAGCAAGTCTTTGCCGTTTGCCACTTGGAGCCCTCTGGGGATGAAGTGAGAGGGTGAGGTGACGGAATGTGCTGTGAAGAGGGGTTGGGGTTTTCACTGTGCTAGGCCACCTACCATGCCATGCAGAGAGACTGGGGGGTAGGAAACACCAAGGAGGAGCCCATCCCACCACCAGGGCCCCCTCCCCAACAGAAGCTTTGAGGGAAGTCCCACAGGGCCCATGAGGCTCTTACCGGAGGAGAATGCTCATAGATGTTGGTGCTGTAAGGCAGGTTGATGAAGATGGGGTCCGTGTCCTGTCAATCATAGCTGATTGGCCAGGGGTGGACACATGGCCCAAGGGCAGGCAGCAGGCTGGCTACAACCTACTACCTTGTGTCATGGCACAAAATCAGGAGCCTCTCTTGAAAACCTGAACTCGAGAAACCCAAAGGCTGAGCAGTTGGTGGGGGCAGCTGGAGCTGTGACTCTCAGGGAATAGCCAGGGCCTAAGAGGGCTCTTGGAGCAGAGGGCAAGTTGCTGGCACCTTGGGCAGTGTTGGCTGGCTGAGAGAAGCAGATTGACCAGTGGGGCACACGGTTGAACCACAGTGAGGTTTTTTTGAGCCTGTCTGAGTCCAAACCCACTCTCCAGCCCAGGTTAGATTTTCCATGGGCATCCCCGTCACTCCACGCCAATCTTTCTGAACTGCTCTCCTTTACTTGCCCAGCAAGTCTTTGCTGTTTGCCACTTGGAGCCCTCTGGGGATGAAGTGAGAGGGTGAGGTGATGGAATTTGCTGTGAAGAGGGGTTGGGGTTTTCACTGTGCTAGGCCACCTACCATGCCATTCAGAGAGACTGGGGGGTAGGAAACACCAAGGAGGAGCCCATCCCACCACCAGGGCCCCCTCCCCAACAGAAGCTTTGAGGGAAGTCCCACAGGGCCCATGAGGCTCTTACCGGAGGAGAATGCTCATAGATGTTGGTGCTGTAAGGCAGGTTGATGAAGATGGGGTCCGTGTCCTGGACGTCTGTGATGATGATGGCCAAGTTGGCCAGGGTGGACAGAGGCCTGGTCTTGTCTTGATCCTTAGAGAGCAAATGGTACACAGCCTTAGGTTAAATGATGGGTGGACACACACATACACACACAGAGACATATGACATGTGACACACACGTACACACACACATTCACGTGTGCTCCTGCACTCCTGCAGGGAAGGGCTTAGTAAGAGGAAGCTCAGGAATTCTAAGAACCTACAGTGACTTCTGAGCTATGCTGGGAAACATAAACAGGGTCCCCAAGGCCCAGAGGGAGGTGGTTTATCCAATGCCACAAACAGGGCTGGGTTAGCACTGGCTCTCCTGACCCCAGACCGACCCACTATGCTGATGTCTGGTGGCTGGGATGACTGTCACAGGGTAGAGATGGTGCTGTCCTTAGCTTCTTTGCTGTGTTCATCGAGGGGCCCATTTCCTACCCCCATTCATCCCAGGGCAGCAGGGAGCTGACCAGGGTAGGGACTCCTTAGGAGAAAGGCCCTTTGGCCAAAGAAGGGTGTTACTTTGGGACCCCCATCCCTGC